ACATTTGGTTTGGGGCCAGTTTGTAACAATGGAGGAGAAATTTAAAGGGGCTCTTTTATGCTTATTTACTCTGCATTTCTATTCTTTACTCGGCATAGTTCAAAGTGTATTTGTGTTAATCTGGGCTTCTGGCCGTGGTTTCTGAGCTCACAGCCAGAGTGGTGTGAAATGACCACACTGGGGATATCTCCTCTGAAACAGAGCTTCAGCAGTCTGAAGCCTGAGCTTTGACTAATGGATTATTTGTATGTACACTGACATCATTATTAGAAAGAGATCGCCCTCCTCGCACAATTATATTTGTGTGCTCCTCCATCCGTGTTGTCCCTGAGCACAAAGCCAGATCTATAGAGAAGTTTAATGTGGTTACAAGTGAAGTTATTTTGCAAAAAACACTTCCCAGGAAGCTGAAAGCTGCGGTAGAAGCAGATCATTTTGAACGTAATCGCAATTATTGACGAATGGGTGTCAAGTTCTAGCATCCAAGTATGTTTAAAACTGCTTAAAGTTGCATTTCTGCCAATGGGATGATAGAAAAGTAATAAATTGACTGATAAAGGTGTAAAAAAATATTATATGTGTTTTGCAGAGTTAAACATACAAACGTTAAAAATATTTGGAGCCAAATATTTTGCACATATCAACACTTACAGGCTTTATTAAGAGGCCACTAAAGTTTAAAAACCCTAAAGTTTGAAATCCATCAGACAAATCTCTGAGCCCACCATCTCGTCTGCTGGTTCGTCTTCTTTCGGCTGCTCCCAGATCATCAGCCTCTTTCTTACCAGCTTCTGTCACACCATGCATGTCCTCCTTCACTACATCCATGAATCTTCTCTGTGGTCTCCTGCTTTTCCTCTATATTCAACACCCTCTGCCCAAAATATCCACTAACCCTCCTCTGCACACATCCAAACCACATCAGCCTTGGCTCTCCAACTGCATCTCCAAACTGCTCAACCTGAGCCGTCCCTCTGATGCACTTGTTTCTAAACAAATGCAATGCTTTTGCTCTCCACACAGACCTCTTACCTGCATGTGAGCAAAGGCTATTTAAATGTGATCAAAGCAGGAAAGGCTCCAGTACAACTACACAGATCAGTTATCAGCTGGGATCGGACTGTATAATCCTGCCTCACCTTGGCAGGTACGGGCCTCCCTGCTATCTTGGCACTGGCTATTTCTGAGCTGGTCCTGCGGGGAACCCTCCTCCTGGCGATTCCTCCCTCGTCGTCCGAGTTGGAGAGGTGTCCGCGGCTCTGATCCCGATCCGAAGAGTGATCTTGAGCTTGACGCTGGCCGTGACCCTGCCGCACGCTGAAGTGCTGCCTGAAGCTGACGTTGTACCTGGGGAACCAATACATACTGTATCGTAGACAAAGAGTGACATATACGGTACTGAAGCCAAGACGAGCAACACACAGTTTTTGTCTCTTTGCACCGTACGCGGTATATAAGCTATACACGTGTAGCGGGCAAAGGGACAAATACAAAGCAGAAGCAGAAAATGTAAAATCATAAGCTGACAACATACTGTAACAAACAATGCAGACAGCGCATTGTTTTCTACTGAAACGTGTCACATAATAAATACAGTGTACATTTTAATACGGAGCACATTCAGAGGAGAAACAAAGCGTCCTCCACTGTACTGCGAGGTCACATGCTGCATGTGAAAGTGGATGAAGTGAGGCTATCACAATATGTAAACA